GGGAAAGATCTACAATAAAATCAAGAAATGTTTCCCATTCCATGCTATTGTGGACTGCAGAGGAAAAAGGTGATGGGTCGAAACTGCATTAAAAAGTCTTATTTTTCCCCTCTTTAAATTAGCATTTTTGTATTTTTGGCTGATGCTACTGTATTGCAGGGAGGCATGTAGCATCAGTCTTGTTTTACATTAAAACAGCATACTCAGTGATTTATACAAACCTCTCCCAGCATTCATGGACTTAAAGGAATTACTTTTTTCTGGATCAAAGGTAGATTTTTGAATTAATCTCGTCTCTGTAAATAGAAGTGCAGAGACTTAGGATCCATTATGTTAAAGGAAATAAGGTAATTATTTTGAATGCCTTATACTACCTGAGGATCTGAGTTGTGCTCAGTTAAGTTATTGCATTATTATAGGAAGATAGTTGCCACAGGACCAAATTCTGGTTTGATTTATAGCTCAGCTAACCTGTAGACTCAATGAGTTTGCACCAGGTATAGGCCAGCACAGAATTTCAGTTAGGGTATCCAACAAGTTAGCAATCTGCTGCTATGTTTCATGAGTTCAGTACTTTTGAATATATGGTAAAAGAGTTTCTTTGTGCTGCAATGATTTTTTGGGGGTGGGAGAGCTGTGCTTTTGATTCTCAGTTGTCAGAACGATGGAAGATCAGAATCTGAATGTCTCCAGGACTCTGAGAATTACATTGATGTGTTGTAAGATTGTTCCTTGTATGTATTATTTTGATTGGCTGTCATCATTCCACTCTTTCTTCTGTAGTCTGTCACACCTGTGAGAAATGCTTAGAAATGGCAGCCAGTCTAAATGCATTGGTTGTCTAAAGGTTCAACATTGCAGCAGTCTACTATAGTTCACAAAATTTGTTAGGCATTAAAATTCCAATATCTCCTGCTTGTGACAAAGAGTGTAATGAGAACAGAAACAGCACAATATGAAGACTGCTGTTAAAATGCAAAATGCTAATAACTTACTCTAACCCACTTATAATGGCTTTTCAGTCTTGTGACCCAGCTTCCAGTTGGCTTATGACTACTTACAGCCCCACTTCAGGATTGGACTAATGATGTGACAGTTCAGCTTCAGTGGGGCCTGTGATTCCACTCATGTGTGTCATGGCCCATTTAGGGTTATGACCTCTAATTTTGGAGCCAGTCGTTTACAGTGTTCCTGTTGTAGACTAAAGTGCTAATACAGTTATATTAAATAGAGCTCTAAAATGGAGAGCCTTTTACATAACTCACCTCATTCACCCTCCATGTGTTGACAAATCACAGAAGAAAATTACTTTCTCATTGTTAATTTTTCTTTTCCTCCTGTGTTGTTTTACATCAGGTTTTATATCTAGCTCTGTGAAGCATTTTCAAATTAATATTATCTATTAGGATGTTAGATGTACATTTTAGGATTTTTTTGTTTTACTGTACTATAATTTCCACCTTAACTTCTGTGTTTTCACTGAAGCAAATGAACAAGAGGTTTTTTAATGGGGGAATTACTAAACCATATGCAAAACACACTGGGCATTTATACACGTACTTTTTCATGCTGCAATGAGCTGGAGATCAGGTGCATCGGAGCAAACTCGATTAATCGAGTTGATTAATCGAGTCTACTCCGCATGCTAGCTGATGCGCACTGCAATGTGTTGCTTGCAGTTGTAGAAGTGGTGAAATGCATGTCAGTGTGGAGAAAATGGAGGCGGTGCACTTTTGAACTAAAACATCTTTGATGTGTTTTGGTTCAAAAGCAGATTGCCACCATTTGCCGTGTGCTGACATGCATTTCGCTGCTTATACAACTACATGCGTCACAGCGCTTAGGGCTTTTGAAAGCGTGTGGTGCTGCAGTGCATGCATTTGCAAAAATGCCCACTACTACCACTGATTTAGACTAATTTGTAAACAGAACTCAATCTTATCAGGAGTCATTAGAAAGTGCTTTTGGAGGTTGTCTTTTGACATCATTGTGAATTCTGTTCTGTGTGAACCACTGAGTCATTTTTAAGAAAAGCAGGTTACATTTATGCAAGTGAATAAAACATTACATGATGCCAGTAACACAGAACTCCCATAATCTAAACAGATTTATTTTCCACTTCAACACTAGGAACTTCAGTCACCAGACTATATCCCTGTCTTAATTTCATTTGGAAATCTCTAAATTGGGCCTCCCAGGTAATGTTGATTCCTTCCTCCAACTAATGAAAAAGTGTATTCGCTAATAACTTTTAGTATGGAAATAATCAAAGACTTGACTTCTGACTGGAGTTAGGGTATCTCAAGGGCTCCATTTATTATAGATTGTAAGGTGACAATTTAGGTAGCCCAAAAAACCCACTCCTGAAGTAATAAATGTCCACACAATACTGCATTAAATGTGTCCATTCAACTGGGCAAAATAATAATAAATTTATAGCAACAGAAGGCTCCCCAGAACACAAACAGGTTTATTTCTTACAAGGCAGGAACAGATGAAGAGGATTTCCGTCCTTTTACTTCTTAAGATCTCATGTTTATTAGCATTGCTTATACAAAAAAAATGCCATCTGCTAAAGAATTAATTTTTCCTCCTAAGTAGACTGATTTATAATTTCTCAGCAACTAGGTGGCTCAGAACATACATCATAGTTAGTTTTATTTCACTAAACTATTGTTCCTCATCAAGTGCTCAATTGAGGATTATGCTGAGGGTTGAGTAAAGGTATAAATCTGAGGAATGATGTCATTGCACAAGCCTTAAGCTCTTATTAGAAGCAGCCAGGACAGATAAGATGTCATAAGACTTTTAACAAAAAGGAAAAATTCTATGGCCCTGATTCTGATATAACTTCTACTGGCTTTAGATCAATTTCTTTGGCTTCAATGGAATAACCATAGGTAGCAGAAGGCCAGGACTAACAGGGCTCCGCCCCCCCCCCCCAAATGTGGGGCAACGGGTAGGGCTGCAAGGTAGCCCTGCCGTGGGCTCTGGGTGGCTGCAGCAGTGGTGGGGAGGGGCACGCACGCAGCCAGACTCACAGCCCAGCATGTGGATGACTGGCTACCTAGAATGGCAGGCAAGTACCAGTCTACTCTGCAAAGGGGAAAGGGCTAGGGAGCAGAGGCAGATCAGTGCGCCCATGGTTAGGGAAGGAGTGGGGCATAGGTAGGGGCAGGGTCTGGGGTGAATGGGGCCCCGGCTGGGCCAGGTGCTGGGACAATCAGAGACTGGGTGGCTCATCCAGGGGGTGGGGGGGCTGCTGCTGCTGTGCACAACCTGGGGAAGGCCCCAGGGGCACACGCCCTCTGGATCTGTGCGTGGAGTGGAGGAGGTTGCCGCTGAACTTTGTGCTCTGCTGCAGCTGCCCCAGGAGTGGTGCAACACCATTTGTGCCCCCCCCTGTGGGTGGGTAGAATGCATGGTGCAGCCCAGCGATGGGACACATGGCCCTTCCCCTCCCCCTCTCCCCTTCCCCCATGGGGGGGTGGGCGGGAGGGAGCACACGTCTGTGCATGCACATGCATGCTCAGCCCCCTGAAATAATGTTTTCTCCTTCCACCTATGGGAATAAGTCTTGACCTAAATCACTGTGACCTAAATTAATGTGACTGACTGTACTCTGGCTCAATTTGGCCCGATTAAACTAATCCTGACCTGAGCGTTTGCATGTCAGTTTAAGGACAGTAATTTACTGCATTGCTGCTTACCACTTGTATCTGACAGGACTATCTGGCAGTGCAGTACATTAGTCTACTGTGCTGTAGTTGCCGCATACATGTAGACAGTGAGGCTTTACTGTGCAGCAATTTAGTCTGTGCAGTAAAGCATCTTGTGTAACTGCACCCTGTGAGATCAGGATCAGATCCTTATAGATAGAGTTAATTAGACATTTAAAAAAATATTTTAAATAAAAATTAGAACTCAAGTATTGAAGTGGTTATCAGCATAAGTTACATGGATGAGCCATGTGTCTGGTACATTATTGCTAAATTCAATTCTGACAGGCAGCTACAACTCTGCTGATTCTTGAAAGAGGTGTGGTCTGTCAACTCATTGTTTAATTTGGTTCACATGGCAGACAGTTAACATTTTAGCTTCAGCACTTTCATAGCCCTTTTTGTGTTCCAAATGTTTTGCAAACATTTTGTCAAATTCTTCTGTCCATTACCAAGTGTTTAACTCCATTGTTTTCATGATCTTCTTGGAACATGCCATATTTGCTTTCCTCAATAAGGAAAGAAAAGAGCTTGTTTGCATGAAATGGAACTTGGTGGCTATACTGAAAGAAAATGGAAGTGCAGCTATTAGCCTTGTATGACACCAGAGAAAATGATAGCTTCCTAGATAGGTCTTATGAATCGCTATAGAAGACATATCACATCAAACAATTAAAAAGGACATGACAGAGAAATCAAAAAAACAAGGAAGATACTTGTAGCAAAGAAGGAGGAAAATCAGAGTACAAAGGACACACACGAAATAAGCAATCACTGTAATCTTTTCAACTTGAGTACTACTGCTGACAATGCCTTAGATGAATCAACTGAATGGAAGAGATCAAAATCAGCCCCCATTACTCAGGAGCCAGAAGTCATGATCCATAGGGATGGGGATGGTGGTAATCAGAGCCTGTCTCCTAAGGAGGGGCTGAGGCACTCATTTGCTTTCTAGACTTAGAAACCTCTGAGGTGTATTATTATTTAAGATGTGGAGAAACTGCAGAGGGTCTACAAGTGACTGATAATAAACAAGCTGACAAAAAAGGCATATGAAGAAAAGTTGAAAGAAGTAGGTATGCTTACCATGGGCAAGTGAAGATTAATTAGCAACATGATAGGAGTTTTCAAATATTTGAAAGATTGGCATAAACAAGATGGATACAATTCTTCTCCCTCCTGAAATGGCAGAACACAAGGCAATGGGTATAAACTATAGCAAAAGGGACCTGGAGCAAATATCAGAGAAAATTCCATACTGAATGAAAAGAGCTGTCTGGGGAAATTGTGGAATTTCCTCTAAGAAGGTTATCAAGGAGAGTCTGGATAGCCATTTATCTGGGATAATTT